CATATTGCAAATGAATAAGGACAACTATGACTCCTTTCATTTTTAATTCTGTTTTGTTGTTTTACCTTCAAACATGTAAATGCTTAAAATCGAAGGCTTTTTTTGTTATATTGTTTATCTTTACTTCACTCATTTAATCAATGGTCATTTCCAGGATTAGCACTAAAATGAAAAGAGGTAGATGGGCCCTATAACAAGCAAACACTGAATAGTTATGCTTAAGTCTTTTATATTCCAAATATTTCACAGTCTCACTATACTGCATCCAACAGAAGAAATAAACTTCATCTTATAATGAAGTCATTAGACTAATTTAGCTAGTAAGCTCTTCCAAGACCTAGACAACCAGAACTACTTACTTGGGTATAATATTCAATAAAGGACTTTTAAATATTTGATTTCATCTTACACAATTCAAAACTTTCAAATATATTGCTTATGGTATTTAATATTTCCTAAGTTATCTGATCACAGGTTTTCACCCATGATTTAATTGTCTAGTTATCAGATTTCTACAAAATGATAGCAAACTATCAGCAGGGTGATAGTTTTAGTCTTAATAGCTAGATTATTCTCTCTTCCAGGATAGCTTAGGTAATTGTACTGCTGATTTCTGGTGATCGATTGAAAGGAAAAGTTAATGCTTAAATTTTTTTTTCTTGTTCTGTTTAATTTCTTATAATTTTTTACATGCTTATATCTGGTAATCTAAACTAATTTGAAGACAACATTATGCAATATAACAACCCTGGCTGAATTTCTATTACATTGTTTAGTGAAATACTATATCATTTCTAATGGAAATTTTGTTTACTAATTTTTATTCTCTATAAAAGAACAAAACATGCCTGTAATCCCAGTTCTTGGGAGGCCATAAACAGGCAGATCACTACAAGTCCAATCTAGTAGTGAGACCCTGAACACCCTGTCGATCATTCCCCAAAATACAAAAAAAAAAAAAGCCATAAAAATTTAAAGATAAAAAAATTGGATTATTTAACTTGTAAGTATAAAAGACCAGGAAATATATCTCTCAGTGACAGCTTGATTTTAACTTTCCCAGGCTGTTATTTCCTCCTACTCTTGACAAATCTTTTTTTTTTTTTTTTCCTGATACTGAGAATCAAACTCATAACCTTGTGCTTGCCAGACAGGTGTTTGTGCCACTAGTTATCTCCCTGACACTCAAATATCTTTTTTTTTCCCCCTTGGCCTGCTCAGCCCACCCTGGGGGCGGGGCTGGCATGGCATGTGGTGCCGAGGATGGAACTGTGTCCCCTGAGTGCTTTCCTAAGCTTGCCTAAATAGGTGCTTTAAACCACTGAGCTATCTCGCTGACACCAAATATCTTTTTATAGATCTCGTTCCTGAGATTTGTTGATATGAATCCAGAATGTTTGAGTTTCTATCACTAATAGATTTCTGAATCCGCATGCATGCAACAATTAATATTCTCCTCCAAAATTGCATGACCATTTCCAATATATTCATAGTATTTTATCAATCTAAATCTGTTTACTAGAAAGTGTAATGTCAGTAAGAGATATTCTAATACGAGAGTAAAATCAGTTGAAATCCCCAACTACAACTATCTCAAAAAATTAAATTATGATAATGCTGGGTTTCTAATGCTTCTAGTCATCAGTGATACTATTTAACCACCTACAAATAGAAGCTTCACTATATCATCTGTAATGTTGGACTAGAAGAGTCTGACTCGGCATCTTGCACACATGCAAAGCAGCTGCAATACATTTGGAAACATGCACTTAACTATTTGCTCTTTGACGATCACTCTGTCCCTCCCTGAAGGCAGGTTTCTGAGGGCAGATCCACTTCTACTATGCACAGCACTGAATGTCAACCCCTAGCACAGCAGTACTACACAATGTATTCAGAATTATTAAAGTTAGATCTTGCATTTTAAGAAAAAATTACGAAATCAAACCTTTTTCATTTTTAACACAATGTGAAAAAATCTTTCTGCTCTCAGCGTGGTCTTCTCTCTTACTCTAACAACTCTGTGATGAATTTCTTCCCGTGGACTACATTGCTCTTCTGATATCATAGCATTCCCCAAATCAGCATAACTGCTGATATCTACAGTAGTGAAGTAGAAAAGTAAAGCATTTTCCTCTATTGTCATATCCACATAACGAATTTTAAAATCACATTTATTTCATGCTAATACTATAGTCTCACTGCGACGTCTGCGGGGTATTTTTACATCCCTTTGACCTGCCCTGCCCTTGCACTTTGCCTAACTGTTGTGCATCCCTCATATTTCAACCTTGATATCTTCACTTTGCATTTAAATAAAACACTACGCCTTGACAATTAAAACATGTAACTCACTGTGTGTGATGGTTAAGCTAACTTGATGATCTGTCTGGCTTCAGAGAATCCTGGGAGGTGACTGAGCCGTGTGGGTATGATATTCAGCAATGCACTTACCAGGTGGGGGCCCATTTCTACATGGACCACTGGAGGACGGAGAGGCTCTGCAGGGTGCACCTCTCGCTAGTGCTCCTCTCCGTGCTCCACTATCCACGACAGTCCCCATTATGTTGTTTTTGCCTGAAAGCCAGCTGGCTCTCTAAAATTGTGATACAAACTAAACCTCTTCACCTTTATGCTGTGTGTGTTGCATATTTTGTCTTAGCAATAGGAAAGGCATTCAGTACACTGTATTTTACCACGTGCATTGATTTTGTTTTAACCTGTGGCCACCATTACGTAATTCTATGGAATCCTCAATGTCCCACCTGAGTGCCAAATACATGGGAGGTCACAGGTCACAGATAGACATTTTTGAATAAACAATTGAATCAGACATTGAATGAATGTGAATATAGCCTCATTATTTTGTTGGGTTTTTTTTTTTTTACTTCATTATTACTGCATCTTGTTTATTCACACAGAACCCAGTTTTCACTCACATGAAAAAAAAATGCATCTTTACAAGCCTATCAATAATATAATATTTCTGGGTATAAAAAATATATAGCAAAATCTTGCAAAGGCAAAGGGACTACTTATGTAATCACTTAATTAAAAATTTTACCTATCTAGTCCTTTTGGAAGCAGCTTTGATCTGGGATCAGGCTAGATTTCCTGAGCAGGACACAGTAGCACATACCTGTAATCCTAACACTTTGAAAGGCTGAGACAGGTTTCAAGCCTAGCCTGGACACTTAATGACTTAATGAAATCTCATCATTAAAATAAAAGACTAGAATTTAGTTCATTGCAAAGTCTCATAAATTCAATCCCAAGTACTCCAAAGAGAAAAATTATATATATATATATATATATATATATATATATGTTCTACAAGTGAGAAAAATGATATATTTGATACTTTAAATATATAACATTCATTTAGGATTAGGTAAAAAAAAAATCTACTTTAAGAACATTTCCTTGTATGATGCAGAAAACATTTATTCCTAAAGAGTAATAGAATACTAAATAAAGAATACCAAATAGAGAATACTAAACAATAGTAAATTCCTTCATGGATAATTTATTAGTATCAGTAAGGAAATCAATGAAATAATAGTTAAAAAAAAACTTCAACTTTTACCAAGGCAGTACATTCATGGTCTTTGTCCCAATAATCCTCAAAGTTCCTTCCATAGTCAGCATATGAGGAAATACATGGAAAATTCTAGGAGAAGCAGGCATGGAAAAGTTGGAAATGAAGCAAACATGGGACAAGATGCTAGCTGCGGTAAGCTTTGGAAAGGAGAGTCTCTTTCCCTTGAGAAATTTTAGAGAATAATATCAGAATAATGCAGTTCACATTAAAAGATGTATTCCCTGCAGCAGCATTTATTGGAAATGTATTTGCCAGCAGGATATGTGGTAGGTGTGCTTGCTACAAGATGGCATCTTTAAAACTCAGAATACCTTACATTTGAGCAAACATATAGGTGTGAATCAGACAAGTGTTAAAATATTCTGGTAGAATTTTTTACTGTTAATGACATCTGAAAATCTCAATGGATACATGATATAACAAATGAAATTTGAAAAAAATAGTTATTTATTGTCTATTATATATATATGATTTGTAGTAATTAACATATATGAATCAAACTTTTCAGTAAAATTTTAATACCACTTTATAAATAAGCAAATAAACTCAGAAAAATCTATGCAATTAATGAAAAGGTAGACATCATCTAGTGTCAGGATAAAAATTTAGACTCAGGCTTCTTGGATTTCCTAAATGCTGAGAAAATGAAGTTCATAAATTTTCAGATGAATACATGGAACAGGTGAAACTTGGCATTTTTATCAAGGATTTGTAAGTGGGTCTTTTAACTGAATTAAGGTGATTTGTTTGAAGTTTCACTGTTAGAAAATTATCCATTCACAGGCTGTTTTAATAAATACAGAAATTGCAACACTGTCAAGAGAAGAAATACTGACGCCACCTCGAGCAGCCATCGTGCCGCTGCTTTGAAGCCTCACCACCCACTCTGCTCATCACTACATCCTTGAGAACCATTGATGGATATTTTCACTGCTAGATGTCGTAATCTCCCAAAGTCTTTGCAAGTGGAATCAATAAATATATCAGATAATCCAGCAATACTAACCCTACTTGGCATGTATACAAATGAATTAAAAATTTTATCCCTCAGTAAAACCTACATATAAATGTATATAGAACTCTTTTTATTTGTGATAGCCAGGCTATGAAAACAATTGATATTTTACAAAATGTGAATGGTTAAATGATCTATTGTACATTCAGACAATTCAGTACCAGAGAGAAATGTGTTATTATGTCAGAAAAGATATGGAGAAACATGACATTCATTTTTTAAGTTAAAGAAGCCAAATTGAAATTTGATGAAAATCATACTTTACATGAATATATTACTTCATTGAATAACCAAGCACCTCAGATATACTACTTAGAATAATACAGAGCTTAACAATGTTTAAATATATTTAATGTGCATTGCACCCTTTTTTCAATATCTTACCTCTGATCTTAACTCATAGATGATTCCATCATTGTTGTTTTGAGAATTAGATTCTTCCTTTATATCTCCTATTATCTGTTCCATTTCATTTTCATGTATTCCATGAAGAATGTCAAACTGAAAGAGAAAAGTTTTGAAACTATCATAGGTTTTTATAACTTCTGCCACTAATATGTTCCACACTACTCTTTCATTTTCTTTAGGTCTTTTATTTTTTCTATATAGATTTTGGCAGGATATTTTTGCTGCTGTAACTTTCAAGAAGGAACCATGTAATATACTTGCAGTTGAAAAATATTAAGTTGCTCAGCAAAAAAAGAATCAGAAAATCTCCCTAAAATCCAATTCACTAATTGAATACTGAGCAAAAAGATTTTCAAATGATGGACCAGCTGACTTCTAAACTAATCCAGCTAATGCTGATCTTTAATTCTTGACTATTAATCAGTACCTCAGTATTTTAATAACCTTATTTGTATCTTTTCTATAAATTATATTTAATAAATCATTATAGAAACAAATTTGGACAAAGGAAAAATTACATATATGTATGGTGAATGGGCTGGTAAAATTTATACAGCATATCTACAAAAGACGTCGGTACATTTCCTAAGAAACTACTGCATAAAAACATAAAATCTTAGAAAAATTTGTAAATTCTGTGATTACTTACCCACAATATGTATTATTAGTAATGCTAATAATTTTTCCTTAATTATATAAATAAATGTTTCCATTACTCAAAGTGTACACAATCTTATAATCAGAGTATAAAAGCTAATATCATACCTTTTATTTAAAAATTTAAAACTACTCATGATTTTGTCAGTGTTTATAGTAATATTCTAGGCTCCAGCAACTAAAGTTGGTATGTGTCATTTTTGTTAATGTTAGTAGTATTTTTGTATATTAGACTTTACTATGGTTATCCCTAATATACGGAAAAAGTGAACCATAGTCTTAAGCAAATTTTCCAAAATTGGCACAGCTAATAACCAGAAGAGTGAAAATCTATGAATATTTACTATATCCCTTACCTGAGTACACCGAAACAGTTTTCTGAAAAGCAATAAACTGATAGGAAGTGGCAGTACAGAAAGCATAACAGAAGATGCCAAAACTCAATCCAACTAGAAATAGATTACAGTAGAGAAGGAGGCTAATTTCCCAAAAAACTATGCAGAAGATCAATATTCAGAATTGGTACCTTTGAGAGAGCATATGGAAGGTGAGAAGAACTTGATCTAATACAGCAAACTTTTATGATTACCTGTCCTTGTACAATTAATCACTATTATGTAAGGTAAATAGGTGACTTTTTTTTTT